CCCCCCCCCCCCCCCCCCCCCCCGGTTAATGCGTCTGGGCAGTTCTGGAAGGGTAACTTCTAACATTGCAACTATCTAGCTAGCTAGCTCAAGGGCTTGGGAACATGTTGAAAAGTTCGAGTTGAGCTGAATTCTTCAATTCCCTCTTCACAGGGTCATCAATAATATTTCGATTTAGATCTTAAAGTGAAAGTATCCTTAACTAACCTCAGCTTCCATGATTAATGATAATGACAGATGTGAGACTAGCCTGGAAGAATGTATTCATTAGAAAGAATTCGTGGGTTGATTCTGTTAGCAAGAGAGGCACCCCACGAATATGATGAAAAGCATAACCTCCTCATTTGCTAACAAGCTGGGAAGCTGCACTTACTTAGCCCAATCTTCTTAAGTGTTGAGGTATATGCCTTCTTAAAAGAGCCCTGAGATCCTCGTTCCTCTATTCCAATGGAGCCAGGATTTGGCCTATAAACTACAAGGGGACAAAGAACTCAAATTCTCTTAGTCTCAGGGGTGCCTGGGTGGCTCAGTCAGTTTAGCATCCAACTTCAGCTCAGGTCATGATCTCATGGTTTGTGGGTTCGAGCCCTGCGTCGGGCTCTGTGCCGACAGCTCGGAGCCTGGAGCCTGCTTTGGATTCTGTGTCTCCCCCTCTGTCTGCTCTTGCCCTGCCCACACTCTGTCCCTCTCTCTCTCAAAAATAAATAAACATTATAAAATAAATTAAAAACTTCAAATTCTTTGTCCCAACCTGCTTCTACCTTTGCTTTTAGTTATGGTTCATAGGCTTGTAGAGAGGAAGAATCACGTTTGACTCACTTAGGTTTGGATTTGACTCATTACTTCGAGTTTTTAGATATCTGTAAAGGGCTTAGCATAAAGTTGAGAAATTATAGTCCTGGGTTCTCAGAGTCCAGTGTTATCAACTCAGGCTCATGAGTGAGGCAGAAATTGCAAATAACCTGTGTTCTTTTCATAAACGTGTAGTGGGGCAGTGCTAGTGAATGAAGAGGTTTAAAAACTCTTATAATCCATTGCATGGTAACTTCACTTTTGAGAAGCAGAAACTGTCCAAGGGGGGCTCCTAATTCCTCTTTCCCATCGCATTTTCTGCACAATAAATACAAGGCAGCGTACTCCTCATCCTGAAGGACCTTCTTGCCATTTCATTCTTTACTTGGAGCGGGGCAGAAAGAGATGTAAACACAAGGCTGGATTTGGGGGCTGCATAACTGACTCTGCTGTCCTCTTTTGTGCCGTCTCACATCTCTCCCTACCTGGAATTTCAGCTGAAAAAGAAGCAGGTGTATGTAGACAAGGTCGAGAAGATGCAGCAAGCCCTCGTACAGCTCCAGGCAGCGTGTGAAAAACGTGAGCAGTTGGAGCATCGTCTCCGGACGCGGCTAGAGAGGGAACTGGAATCGCTCAGAATTCAGCAGGTACGGAGAACTTAAAACGAGATCGCTCCTGATTGGTGGTTTTCCATTGGGTGTCGGACATGAAGATAAGAGCCACACTTTTGCTCATCTTTAGGTGTTTTTGCCCCACTTGATCTTCCTCCAGACCACCTCCTGATTGCGACAGTGAAGTCGGCTTCCTTAGCTTTCGTGGCCCGGCAAAATCCTTAATGCCTATTGTCTTGTACCTTTTATTTTCATGTGAACAGTAGACCCTATAAGAAGTGAAAATGCCGTACAAATAGACTCCAGACATTTTAGAATTGGCTCCGGTCTTTATTTATTTTTTACGTTTATTTATTTTTGAGAGAGAGAGAGAGAGAGAGAGACAGAGCACAAGTGGGGGAGGGGCAGAGAGAGGAGGAGACACAGAATCCAAAGCAGCTCCAGGCTCTGAGCTGTCGGCACAGAACCCGACGCCGGGCTCGAACTCACAAACCACGAGATCATGACCTGAGCAGAAGTCGGACGCTCAGCTGACTGAGCCACCCAGGTGCCCCACGCTTCGGTCTTTAGAATCATCTGGCCATACCCCTCCTCATTTTCAGATGGGAGAAAATCAAGACCCAGGAAAGGTTGCGTGACTCACTTAAGGCCACACAACAAGTTGGGGGCAAGGTAGGGGCCCAATCCTAGGTGTTTAACGTCCATTTCTAGTGTGTGCCTTGCTGGCAGGCAGGGATAGTGATTTTTCAACCCACGATCCACTTTCTGAACGGCATGACTATTTGATGTGGCAAGCTGCTTTCCCGATCAAAGGAGTCTCCTGTTCAGGCCCCAAGATAGAAAGTGCCGTTGCCTTGGGAGGAAATCTGAATTCCCCTTGCTTCTGGATCAGGATCCAAACTGAAGTGGCACGGGCAGTCACGCTCTCCAAGAATAGGGGCTCTTCAAGTGGGGCTGCCAGCATGGTTCTCTCACTAACCCGAGGGGTCTCGGCATCTCCCCAACCAGCGCCAGGGCAACCCTCAGCCCGCCAGTGTTTCAGAACACAGCGCCACTGCGCTGATGGAGTTGCTTCGCGAGAAGGAGGAGAGGATTCTGGCCCTGGAAGCCGATATGACAAAGTGGGAGCAGAAGTATTTAGAGGAGAATGTGATGAGGCATTTCGCTCTAGACGCCGCCGCAACTGTAGCTGCGCAGAGGTAAGTGGCTGGCTTCCGGGATCCTTGCTTGAAGGGCATGGGTGGGTGGGCAGAACAGAAAGGTGACCTGTTGAAAGATGTTTCCATGTGTTGCTTTCCTTGTCTCCTATAGTGCTCTTTGTTCCCCTCCCCAGTGTCTGCCTAAGTGTGTTTCCTTTCACCTGGTTAAACAGAGACTTTTTAGGAATTGGGGTCAGGAATTTGAAAATGAACGTTAACTTCACGAGATCAACTGAAGGTTCGCAGGCCTCCTTCGCTAGAGCCACGCCTCCTTTTGGCCACATGTGTAGGTTTCTTTGTTTAGCCCCAGGAGGGGAGTGAAAGCCACTCCAGAGAAAGGCCACTCAGAAACTAAATGTCACTCAGGAGTGGCTGAGCCACGTTCTCCGTGTCCATGAGTTCATCACATGTAACCGGTCACATGCCATTTGGCAAGGGAGAGAAAGCGGCAGAAGGATTTTTTTCTTCTTAAATTTTTTGCCTCTTCCGTGTCCCCTGTGCACGTGAAAACATTAAATATTGGTCTTTGGAGGAAACAGTGCTCTTGTCCGGTTTGTCCATCTCGCTGCTGTTCATAATCACCCGTTGGAAAAGAAAGAGAGAAACGACAAAAACTAAATTCGCATCAGGAGATGGCGTTGGTTGCTGGAGAGACAGACAGAGGCTTGGTCTCCAGTCGGGTATCTAAGGAGGCCAGAGCATATGGTACCCAGAGAGGCTCTACCCAGAAAGTTATTAAAAACCACAGTGTTGTTTCGAACGTTCTCCTAAAGGTGGTGAGCTGGCGGAATCTGGAAACACTTGCCAGAGTTTAGGCTGTGATGTGTGTGTCGAGTGGGTGGCAGATACATTTATTTGCGAGTCCTTCTCATGCCAAATCGGGAGGAGGTCAGTGCTTAAGAGCTGGGCTCGTGATTTGCACACGTATTCCTGATTCTCCAGGAGGACGTCTTACTGTTTCTCTAACACACTCTGCCTTCCTCCAAGTACATGGAGACCTGATAAATCTTATATGGCTTGAAATCACCTGTGCATGGATTTCGAGGTCATCATGGGCTTAAGCATACCTGTCTTTGTTTTCGGAGAACAGGGCGCTCCGTACGTGCGAGGGCAGTAACGGAGCGCACGAAAGCCCCAGCTGTGCTAGAAGATGGTCGGGGAGTTTGTAGGCAGATTAGAAGCAGAATTAAGTGTAATTTTAGCTGCTCCCTCCCAAGAAAACACCTGTGCCCAGTGCTTATTCAAAGGTTATTCAGGAAACCCCAACACAGAAAAGGAGACGAAGGGCGAATTTTGTCACCTTTGGGCAGAAACTTAGAAAGATCTAGCTCGTAAAGGTGTGCAGTGTGAGAAAATGTGGGAAAGCCAGCGTTCTTGATGCTGGGAGGTTCACTGCTAAAATCAACTTCAGAATAGACTTCAGGTCAGGAAATGCAAGAAAGCTAGGAGGTTGTCACTGGGGTCCTTGTAATAAAGAAACTACCCCCCCTTCCTTCCTTCCTCCCTTCCTCCCTTCCTCCCTTCCTTCCTTCCTTCCTGCCTTCCTGGAAAGTTTTGATACTGGGGGAACCCACTTTTTGAGAGACTTCTTCCCAGAATCTGTTGCCTTCCATAAAGCAGATTTAATTTAAACCACATTCGTTTAAATCACCAGGTAGAAAGTTTCCATGTAATCACGGTTTTCAGTAAAAGTGCATGCTTATCATCTAATATGATAAAAAGCAGCCAGTTTCCACCTGGCCAGAAACACTTTACGTTAGTTCCTTGGGCAAACATCCTGTATCGGGACTGTATGCTTCTTTGCATGCCTATTAATCCAGCCCTCAGAAGAAATTGAGAGACTGTGTTCACATTCCCGCAAAATGAGACAAGTAGACTAGGTAGACAAGGACTGGGGTCCTTGTAATAATTCCTCCAGATGCTTCTATTTCTAGGATTATGCTGTTTTTTCCCAAAGATAGTGCCTGTTATGCTCGGCCACGGGGATTGGTTTCCTTTTCCTCTTTTCTTAATGAGATTTCCAATTTACAAGGTGGCATCCAGGAAACTTAATTTCAGAACCTATGGGTTCTTCTGCCTTCCTTTCCAACATCTCTTGCCCTTTCTCTTCTGTCCAGTGGTTTCATTCGACCCTACAAATTTGACCAGTGTTCTGCTCTTTGCCCCTTTCTGTGGTAAAGGCGTTATATTCTACTTTTCCTTCTTAAGAAGTTTTAAATGTCTAGGATATTGGTTGCATATGGAAAGTGCTCAACCTGTATTTGAGTAAGGAAGGAGAGGAGGAAGCAAAAAGGAAGGAAGGAAGAAAGAAGTGACAGAGAAGGCAACGGTTTCTAACTCTCTAACTGCAATCCGTAAATGTAGTGCCACATTTTAATGACCTGCTTGGTTTCTGTGTATTCTGCTAGTATCTCTGACTTTATATGTTCCCAATGTAATATCTTATAGGTAAATGCACATTTGGGAAATGTTGCTTGGGTGGTATCAATGGTGGTTGTAGAATTTTTTCAATTAAGGTATTATTTACCTATTAAAAAGCACCTATTTTATGTGGTTTGATGAATGTTGGCAGGCATATACAATAATGTAGCCACCCCACAGTCAAGATAGAGGGTGCATTCTAAAGTGCCCTTGTGCCCCTTCAGCTTGATTCCCTTCCTCCCCCACCTGACACTAGACAACAATCGGTCTGCTTTCTGTCGTTACAATTTTGCCTTTTCCAGAATGTTGTACGAAAGGAGTCATGTAGTATATACTCTTTCTGCTTGATTTCTTTCACTGGGCATAACTATTTTGAGAGTCATACAAGTTGATGCCTGTATCGATAGTTGGTTCCTTTTCATTGCTGACTCGTGTTCCAAAGTCTGTGCACCACCCCAGTTGATCTATTCACTTGTTGATGGATATTTGGATTGTTTCTGGTCTTTGGCCGTTGTGAATAATAAAGTACAGATTTAAAAAAAATTAATGTTTGTTTAATTTTAAGAGACAGAGAGAGGCAGGGCACAAGCGGGGGAGAGGCAGAGAGAGAGAGAGAGAGAGAAAGAGAGAGAGAGAGAGCGACACAGAATCTGAAGCAGGTTCCAGGCTCTGAACTGTCAGCACAGAGCCCGACATGGGGTTCGAACCTACGATCCGTGAGATCATGACCTGAGCCAAAGCTGGACGCTTAACTGACTGAGCCACCCAGGTGCCCCTCAAGTACAGATTGTCATATAATAATAGACAACTGCCTTTTCTCAGGTGAGAAGACCTATTAGGTGATCTGTTCATACCCCTGTTAGCACTTTGATTCTACAAAGCACCACTTGTCAAAGGGACAGCTGTCAAGGCAAGAAATCACACGTACTGTTTGTTTTCTATATAAGGTACTCTGCTACGTGCTTTACCGTTATTGCTTATGCTCACAATAACTCTTTGCGATAAGTACTATTATCTATTCTACGTATGAGGAACAGTTTAAATAATTTGCCCAAGATCACACACAGGTACTAAGAAGAAGAACTGGGATTGAAAGTGACATTTTGACACCTTCACCACTACTCTGCTGATTTGATGATTTCAGGATGGTGATTAGATTTCAAGATGGTGATTAGGGATTATTAACTGTTTAAGAGTTACTGTTTGAGGCTTATTATTAATTGTTTAGTCACTGAAAAGTATGGTAAGTAATCACAATAATATGGCCCATATTATGACTTCCATATTATCGTGTTCGTAGAGATTCTTTAGATGCTTAATTTACATAAGGGAAATTATTACCGAGTACTTCGACCTAGAAGAATAGATGTGGCAACGCAGACTGTGGCTCACCAGTGGTGAATTTATTTCTGAATAGCAGCAAAAAGATGAAAAGATAATTGGGGCGCCTGCATGGCTCAGTCGGTTAAGTGTCTGATTCTTGATTTCTGCTCAGGTCATGATCTGATAGTCCTGAGATTGAGTCCCGCATGGGGCTTTGATGGGTCATGATGTCGCAATTTGACAGTTGACGCCCTGCATCAGGCTCTGTGCTGACAGCATGGAGCCTGCTTAAGATTCTTTTTCTCCCTCTCCCTCTGCCCCTCCCCCATGTGTGCGTGCGTGCTCACACACATACACACACACACTCTCTCTCTCTCTGTCAAAAAAAAAAAAAAGATAACAAACCCGATCAGCCATGTAATTTACTAGTTTGCATTTCCTGAATCCAGTCATTAACCTTCCCCAAACGTGCAGTGTTTTGTTTTTATATTGGATGATGTCAATCTGGGAAAGAAGGAAAGGAAGGGAAAGCAGGAGGTAGAAGCTGGTCACACACGTTATACGTGCCTACGTGTTCCTTCCTTATAGGCTTTTCTCCGTTTCCGTCCTCAGGTTTGTTTCTCATTCTGACATCCCTTAGGTTAAAGTTAGAATTGTCAACAACTTGTTGGATATTGTCATATGGCTATTCCTAAGATGTGTTAACTCTGATGTAACTAAAATCAAAACCCATTATAATGTTTCCCCAACAATCTCTCCTTATATTCCTATCATAGAAAATGAGCTGTATGCCATCTTTTCTAGTCTTTTGAATTAGAAACACCAAAAGTTCTCATTCATTCTTCCCTCTCTCCAACACCCACATGTAAACAGTCTCCAAGGTGTAGCAATTCTGCCTCCTATGGCCTGTTTGCATCGGTTCATGATGTCAGTATCTCTTGCTGGGATTATTACAATAACCGTTCTGACTGGTTTGCCCAAATCCAGCGTATTGCTCCCCGAATCCCCCATCACATTTCAGCCAGAGACAATGTTATCTTTTTAAAACACAGCTTGGATCATTCCACAGCTCTCATAATCTTCAGTGCCTGTTGGAATAAAGTTCACGCTCACCTCTGTAACAATTAATTGCTTGCCCTTATATTTTTTTGTCTCCCTTTGCAAGTTTCCTGCAGTCACGGACTAATGCATGTCTAGCCACTTTTTAGCATCACAGTAATTTCAACCACAGGGCTCCAGTCATGGTCAAGTTCACATGTTAAATAAACAAAAGGATGCTACTGACAGGAAAAGATGGATTCGAAGTTGAAAAGTTGAAAAGTCTAGCTATTTTAATTAGGGAATCCTGAGTGACGTTCTGGAAAGCGATGTAAGCAAGGTGATGGGGATAATCTCATTGGAAGGAGAGAGATGCCTGGAGGGACAGTTGCCAGAAATCGTTTACTTAAGAATTTAGACATAGGGGGCACCTGGGTGGCTCAGTCGGTCTGACTGCAGCTCGGGTCACGATCTCATGGTTTGCGAGATTGAGCCCCACGTTGGGCTCTGCGCTGACAGTGTGAAGCCTGCTTGGGACTCTGTCTCTCTCCTGCTCTCTCTCTCTGCCCCTCCCCTGCTCATGCTGTCTCTGTCTCTCTCAAAATAAGTAGATAAACATTTTTAAAAATCTTTAAAACAATACAAATAAACATTAAAAAAAAAAGAATTTAGATGTAGGATGTCAAAATCAGGGATGTACAGTCTGGGGTTTGCAGATTGTGTTTTCAAGCCCAGCATCTCTCTCCTGACATGCCTAAGGATAGTCTCAGCGTTCTGGAAGTTAGGTCAAGTTGCTTCTTCAAACGCTGCTTGCTTGCTTTTGCCTGAGCCACTGGCTCAGTGGCCCCAGTCTTCTAGAAGGAAGATTGATGTTGAAGGCCGTCCTGGCAGCTCTGGAGGAATTCACTAAGTGCCCCACATTTTCAGGCTCCATTCCTGAGGAGTTCACAGTGTCCATATCAATGAGCTGGCAGGGCTCTGCGTCCCCAAAATGGTCTTTTATGCAATGAAAGTGGCCGTGGGCCAGCACTGGCTCCCCCAGCGACAAACCGCACGTTCATGGCCCCGGTGTCCATAGTCACCACGCAGCCTTTAGAGCGGCCTGGCTCTGGCTCGGCCATCGTGTTGGAACTCTGCACTGCAGGAACTGCCCCTAGGATTCCACCTAGAGCCGGAATTGGTTAAAGTCACACCCTCTTGCATGTCACTCTCCTTCTCCCCATACTTCTCTCTCTTTTTTTTTTTTTTAATTTTTTTTAACGTTTATTTA